CCGTGAGGTAAAAACTGAATTTTTAAACATTATTTAGACAAGCTTCAGCTTCAAAGGTTATAAGAGGAAAAAAATATACTTATCATTGGGCTCTAAAGGTTTAAGAATAGGGAAACATTTTCTCAAAGATCTGGTAAGTTACACAAATTTTTGTTCAACACAGTTTTATGATTCCAAACATAATCAAATCCTGGACCTCCAAAGTACTAAACCTTCACAGTATGCTCTGAAGCACAAGCTAATCACATACAAATATAGCAGTGCTATGTAGGTTTCACAAAACACACAGACTTGTTTTTACACAAATGTAGGGTCTGTACTCTCTTGCTATACATCAGAAACATTTATGAAATTCGAAGATACATTGATTTCTAACCATGAGAAGAACTAGACCAAATGCTGATTATATTTTTGAAGTGTCAGTATGGCACAGAACAAGTTTAATACCTGATCTTACCTGTGTCTGACAGCTCTCAATTTTTCCAAACTTCAGACACAAGATGGATCAATGATCTTATTACAAACGGCATGCCAGACAGTCTGATGCCATTGTTTCATAATATATTTTTGTATTTTTTTTAATTCAACAATACTTTACCTCCAATCAGTTGTGTGAAACATCTGATAATACAAACGAATGCCGGCACAAGGAAAGGCATACACCTTTTCATTATTTTTTATGAACTACTATCGCCAATTTCATTGGTATTTAATGGTTATTCACTGTTACAACCAAATTCACGATTTAAATCAAATGCCACTGGCTTTGAGAAAATAATACTGAACTTCACTTCATATATAAAAATGTTCAATAGCAGTGGCACAACTAATTAAACATTTTTGTAAACAGGTTCATTGCATACCATAACCTTATTTCAGAAGTCCTACAGTCTTTTCCTCTATTTTCCTTAAAATATTTCTACTATGTACAATATAAGATAAAAGACCGTGTGTTACATTTCCTTTTTCGACTACACACGCAGTAATACGAAACGATTTTGACATTAGCTTACAGCATTTGTGGAAACGCTGCGCCGTATGCGTTAAAACCAGAGTTGCCAACGTGTTGATCATGTAGGATCTCGAAATTAAATACATAATTGATACTGCTTATATCACTTGTTTTTATTCTGTGTAATAATATTTCTTTGTTTACGATATTAAAAACAAAACCAAGTTTTAGCATTGTCATCATAATACATTACATTAGGGTAGTTTGTCGTTTTTCCTTGGGCTTGGATAATTAAGCCATGTCCTGCTTTTTTATTATTCTTGCATGTTGTTTCAATTGGGTTAGATAGTTTTCGTGTAAATATGATGAATGATTAATTTTTATTTTTCTAGAATGTTTTGACTTCATTATGATCTGCTGCATGGCTGCTCAATGGGTCCCTTAACTCAAAATTCCTTAACAAGATTCATTATGATGTACAGTATACAAAATACATACACTTGGCCTACAAAGAACATGCTTACTTGAAAGAAGATACATTATGAGCATCTTATGCATACAAAGATGTTACCATCAAAACGAAGTAAAGGATTTTTGGTCTCCCAGAATCCTTGTGTTCCTGGGTGGGGCAGGGAATGATTATTATTTATTATTATGCAATTAATATCTTTTCCCATATGCACTATATGTAGTATCCTTTACATTATGCAGTCTAATGAACAACTGTACTCACATGAATATAATGCAAAGGTAATAGGAAGAAATTCTATAATAACTGTCACTTAAACTGCATTATTTCTACTGAATTGTTTATATATCATGTAGTGCTGAAAGTTTGCTGTTGTTCTGTATGGGAATGAAACTTCATTCTTCATGCTGGATCACATGGATTCAAAGAATGCAAAACTGTGGTTTAGTAAGGCTGTAATTTTAACAATTCTGTAATAGTTCTTTGTCCCTTTTGATGCTCTCATTTCTTCTGTAAGGAACTTGAAGATATTTACAAGGTGAATGTTCAAGTCAAGCTGTGATTTCAAACTTTCCTACTGTTCATACTCTACATTGATGTTTTGGTTTGCTGTTGCTCTTATTTTATTATCCGCATTCTGAATAGAATTTCTGTAGGGAACTCAGAGCCCAGGAAACTTTCTTCAGAATTCCTTACTCTTTCAAGCAGAGTTACTCTTCCCACTATGGAATGCTTATTTTATGTGACTGCTACACAAAATATAATACTGAGAATGCTATTAAAACACTAAACAAATTTTATAATTCCCTTTATAAAACATCTCAAACTACAGTAAGGAAACCAAGAATCTTTATATTTAGGTGATATATATAATCACAATCACAACCTGTATGATCTGAAGCTTACACAATCACAATCATCTTTCCAAATAAATGAAAAGCACAAATTAATAAAATAAAGTCTGTCACACTTAAAAATTATATTAATTTGAAAATAATAAAATAATTTATATTGTGTACAGAAATAAAACTCCAGAAAAATACATGAGAAAACAATTTTCTTTTGTATTCTTCAAAATTATGTTTCTAAATGAAGACAGGAAATGTGTTTTTATGTAAAGAGTAACAGTTTCTTTGTTTCTAATATTATTTACAGCCTCTTTTAACATACTCTCTCCTTGCATAATGAGCAACATAGTCACTGCTTAGCACAGTCCTCAGAAATAAATTTCAGGTCAGCAATGAGACAATGAAGTAAGCCTCCTCCAACATTAAACTAAAATATATTTATACTTACAATGTTCTGAAGTACTTTGTGCTTCATCACTGTCATGTTTACCTGAACCATTTGAAAAAAACAGTTGAGGCTTAAAAATGTATGTTTTCATTTTTGAAGTAAGTAGAGACAGCTATACAGTTCTTCACAGTTTATGAATTGTTATTGCGATATTCTTGAACATTTCACAATCCTACTTCCTCAGCAATGATTGATACTTTCCTTGTATCTACTAAATTAAGTTATATTTGAGTTATGAATGTGAACTTAAACAATAGTGAAATACTTTAAACTTTATCATCTGAGTGACACAGTTTATGTGTAATCCAACTGACTATGCATTCTACCAGCCCACAGCTAAACTATTAATCCCACAGTTAAAGTCTGGCTGGCAACATGGTAATACATTCTTCTATGACAAAGGTTAATTGACTTACTTTTTCCTGTACTAAATGCTATTTTATTTCCCTCATTTCTTTAACATGTTACAAACAACAACATGCTTGACTGCTGAAATTACATAATTCAAATCAGGTGAAAATAAAAGTATTATATTTCCTTTCCTTATTATGACAAGTGGACTTCAAAATTTAACCTAAAATTATGATGATTATATAAAATATATAGGTAACATACAAATAGTGGTGTCAGGCTAATTAGTAATGTTGCAAAATCCCAAACCTTTGTTCTTAAATATAAATGTGTATTGTCAATTTGACCTGCTCATTCTTTAGCACTATTCTGGACATAAAAAGACCACTACAGTAAGCGTTCAAGTTAAGTGCAATCCACTGGTTAAGCTACTGTTTATCAATTCTAACAAAAATGACATTGTTTTTTTCTCTTAGTGCATGCCTCATTGCTGATGTCAATATATTACCACTTCATATGCAAAGATACAATTTCTTAAACATGAAAACTGTTTTGATCTACAAACTGACAATTCACAAGTATGAATTAATCAAACACTTCAATGCAAAAGTTAGCTATCTTAAAAGTATATAAATTGGGGTTAAAGTAACTGATCAGCATCAAAGTGACACAAATGATATGTAATCAATATACTAATTAAAATTAACATGTAAAATACCACTGACAGAGGTGGTCTTGTTCTCTTTAGAGAGTGGAGGGAACCTCTGAAGAATAATTATGAATTATATTTATGGAGGCCTTTTGTCCCCTCATCTCTCTCCATGGGCTACCAATATTCTATTAAGTGATAATCACCTGAAGTTAAAATGGAATGCCAAATTATAAGTGATATGATACATACTTCATAAAATAACTTATGCTTGTGTACTGTATTCAAAAGACAATGAGACAATGTTTCTTATGTTCCTTCTCTCTTTTCTAACAAGCTGCAACAAAGAAATGTATATAAGGCATGGAATCCCTTTCCTCATAGTAATCTGGTCGACTGGTGCAATACATTTTCACATCTTCTCTGACCAATTATGCCATGAATTCCAAGGCTTCTTGTTTGGTTATTATATTCACATGGCTTATCTAAAGAAAATAAACAAATACAAAAAAATTATGGCACATTTACTAACATTTCAAAAACACTGCAAATATTTCCAGTACCTAAAAAGGAAATATGGCTGCAAGAAATTGTTTTATGTGCACTATAATGATCTGTTCATTGTTCCAGCATCTGCTGCAACAATCAACCACCTACATTTGAGCCAGACTCCATTCAATGCAATATATGGAATATTAATGCATCCTTAATTTTGCCATTTTAAGTCAGAATTTAAATTTGGGGACAAAGCACCTTAATGGTGAAGTTCATGGTGTGCATTTATGTCAGACACCATGTATCATGTTCTTACCCTTTGGTATATTGCTACTTAACACTCTATTGAAGATTTCTGTCTTCTGGGTTGTTGCGCTGTGTAGACTTGTCGATGTTAACCAACGTTTCAGAGGTCATACTGCCTCCATCATCAGGGCGATGAGTATGAAGATTTCTGTCTTCTGGGTTGTTGCGAGTCTGTCACACTTAAAAATTATATTAATTTGAAAATAATAAAATAATTTATATTGTGTACAGAAATAAAACTCCAGAAAAATACATGAGAAAACAATTTTCTTTTGTATTCTTCAAAATTATGTTTCTAAATGAAGACAGGAAATGTGTTTTTATGTAAAGAGTAACAGTTTCTTTGTTTCTAATATTATTTACAGCCTCTTTTAACATACTCTCTCCTTGCATAATGAGCAACATAGTCACTGCTTAGCACAGTCCTCAGAAATAAATTTCAGGTCAGCAATGAGACAATGAAGTAAGCCTCCTCCAACATTAAACTAAAATATATTTATACTTACAATGTTCTGAAGTACTTTGTGCTTCATCACTGTCATGTTTACCTGAACCATTTGAAAAAAACAGTTGAGGCTTAAAAATGTATGTTTTCATTTTTGAAGTAAGTAGAGACAGCTATACAGTTCTTCACAGTTTATGAATTGTTATTGCGATATTCTTGAACATTTCACAATCCTACTTCCTCAGCAATGATTGATACTTTCCTTGTATCTACTAAATTAAGTTATATTTGAGTTATGAATGTGAACTTAAACAATAGTGAAATACTTTAAACTTTATCATCTGAGTGACACAGTTTATGTGTAATCCAACTGACTATGCATTCTACCAGCCCACAGCTAAACTATTAATCCCACAGTTAAAGTCTGGCTGGCAACATGGTAATACATTCTTCTATGACAAAGGTTAATTGACTTACTTTTTCCTGTACTAAATGCTATTTTATTTCCCTCATTTCTTTAACATGTTACAAACAACAACATGCTTGACTGCTGAAATTACATAATTCAAATCAGGTGAAAATAAAAGTATTATATTTCCTTTCCTTATTATGACAAGTGGACTTCAAAATTTAACCTAAAATTATGATGATTATATAAAATATATAGGTAACATACAAATAGTGGTGTCAGGCTAATTAGTAATGTTGCAAAATCCCAAACCTTTGTTCTTAAATATAAATGTGTATTGTCAATTTGACCTGCTCATTCTTTAGCACTATTCTGGACATAAAAAGACCACTACAGTAAGCGTTCAAGTTAAGTGCAATCCACTGGTTAAGCTACTGTTTATCAATTCTAACAAAAATGACATTGTTTTTTTCTCTTAGTGCATGCCTCATTGCTGATGTCAATATATTACCACTTCATATGCAAAGATACAATTTCTTAAACATGAAAACTGTTTTGATCTACAAACTGACAATTCACAAGTATGAATTAATCAAACACTTCAATGCAAAAGTTAGCTATCTTAAAAGTATATAAATTGGGGTTAAAGTAACTGATCAGCATCAAAGTGACACAAATGATATGTAATCAATATACTAATTAAAATTAACATGTAAAATACCACTGACAGAGGTGGTCTTGTTCTCTTTAGAGAGTGGAGGGAACCTCTGAAGAATAATTATGAATTATATTTATGGAGGCCTTTTGTCCCCTCATCTCTCTCCATGGGCTACCAATATTCTATTAAGTGATAATCACCTGAAGTTAAAATGGAATGCCAAATTATAAGTGATATGATACATACTTCATAAAATAACTTATGCTTGTGTACTGTATTCAAAAGACAATGAGACAATGTTTCTTATGTTCCTTCTCTCTTTTCTAACAAGCTGCAACAAAGAAATGTATATAAGGCATGGAATCCCTTTCCTCATAGTAATCTGGTCGACTGGTGCAATACATTTTCACATCTTCTCTGACCAATTATGCCATGAATTCCAAGGCTTCTTGTTTGGTTATTATATTCACATGGCTTATCTAAAGAAAATAAACAAATACAAAAAAATTATGGCACATTTACTAACATTTCAAAAACACTGCAAATATTTCCAGTACCTAAAAAGGAAATATGGCTGCAAGAAATTGTTTTATGTGCACTATAATGATCTGTTCATTGTTCCAGCATCTGCTGCAACAATCAACCACCTACATTTGAGCCAGACTCCATTCAATGCAATATATGGAATATTAATGCATCCTTAATTTTGCCATTTTAAGTCAGAATTTAAATTTGGGGACAAAGCACCTTAATGGTGAAGTTCATGGTGTGCATTTATGTCAGACACCATGTATCATGTTCTTACCCTTTGGTATATTGCTACTTAACACTCTATTGAAGATTTCTGTCTTCTGGGTTGTTGCGCTGTGTAGACTTGTCGATGTTAACATCAACAACCCAGAAGACAGAAATCTTCATACTCACCACTGTGAAAACCTCAAATCTTACATAACACTCTATTGCTAAATATCATGAGGTTGAAATTAGATTTATGACTAATTGTATAACAAACAGTTTTCTGAATATTATATTCCATGTGAGATTTAAGGTTCTCTTAGCAGTGAAGACATTGGTGTTCTTCAGACTTGGAGATGAAGACAGTGGTGTTCTTCAGACTTGGAGATGAAGACAGTATGTTTCTCTGAAACACTGGTATCTGCCTATGAGTCCACACAGTGTCAGAACCCAGAAGAATAACATCAACATATTTTCCATTTTACAACTGCACTGGCTACTGCAGTAAATTCTATGGACAAGTTGTATGGGTCTGTCTTATTTAATTATGGATATTAATATTATTTATACCAATTGCCATCTGACACCATATAAACTTGTTAAGTGAAAAATCAGTACTGGACTTATAACTTGAACAAGTGCAAAACTGTTCTCTCCTGGAGACTTCTTTGTGTCCACAGTTATGGATTAACAGTGTTTACTGGATTTTGTAAATGTAGTGAAGATAGCTATAGAGCAGAGAGTTGTATAGAACAGATGGAATAGATTCAAAATTAGATTAGCTTAAATTACACACTGCAAACAGTGATGTTAAGAAAGCCATCAACAACTTTTGGCTATAAAAGTGCAGAAATTTGCATATTTGGGGCATGCTGGCACAAGACATCAATCGTGTAAAGTTCCCCAGAGTGGCATTAGTTATCCCACTAAGCCAAGGAGATAGGGGCAGGGATTTCTCAAAATTAAGCCATTAATGTAATTTTTCTACCCAGGCACCAGTTGGAGATCACCTGCAATGTAGATGTTTCAGTGGATCTTGGAAGCCATTATCATTATTACAAGTGCTAACATTAACTGATGACACTAGTGAAACTAGGGAGAGAGTATTATGATAGGCTTCAACAGAGACACTTATTCAGGAATGGAAGAGTAGAGGTATACGAAATCAACCCAGTGGAGTAAAAGTCAAGTCTACAGCATTGTATTGTTGTAAATATGTACTTTGTTGCCCTCAGTGGACTAGTGGTTAGTGTTCTTGCCACTGGACCCAAGGTTCGCGGGTTCAATCCAAGCTGAGGTCGATGGATTTTTAAGGGTGATAAAAATCTGTAGCACAATTTCCTTTGGAGGGGAAGTAAAGCCGGCGGTCCCATGTCGTATATTTACGGTATGTAAAATAACCTTACAAGCATCAATGAGTTGTTTCGTAAGCAAAATTCAGTGGCCATTTCTCACCCAAGTCTCTCCTGATTCACTACTAGATGGCTCTATCAGATACATCAGGATTGAGCAGAAATTGTACAGAGGCCGTGGGCCGGTCACTCACTACTCATAAATGCACACTTGAAATGACAAAGAAACCTCCCACATGGGAGGAGGCCAAAGCTTGACTTTGGGCTGTTGCGCCATAGTAGAAGAAGAAATATGTACTTTAAATACATATAATTATACTTTGGTGTGTGTATATATCCATAATATTTGAGGGGTGACTGGATGATACTTTAACACATAATAATCCTACCCTACATGTCCCACAGGCCCTATCAGTTCAACTTGTGTCAGGAAGCAACACAATGGCACAGGCAATGGATTTGACATCCTAACACCACATCACAATACTCTTTTAATTACCTGGTTGATGTTCTTGACTCCATAGAATTGATCCCCATAATTTATAATATCATGGCCATGTGTAGTAACAATGAACTGTGTTTCTTTGGAAAGTTCACTTATTAGCTGGGCCAAGGCAGGTCTATATGCACCATCCAACATCTGAAATCAAACTTATTTTACATAAAAGTGTTACTAATTAAATGATCCACTTTCAGCATTTTCATGTCACACTTTTCTTCATGTAAGTTAATGGTTAAATTATGAAGAGAACACACATTCAATACCCTTGTTTGTGTGCAGTGCATTCCTTATGCTATTGGCCACTCTCTCTGTCTCTTATCACTTTACAAACTGTGGTCATGCTATGATTATGTGATATGGATTGTTTAAATGATTATGCATTGTGAAAGAGTCATGATATGATGCAACATCTGACTACTGACAGGCAATTGTAATTTACTGTGTATATATATTCCACTTCTTCTAATACTGAAACAACTGACATACTTTACTTTGATGAAACTAGGTCTGAACATCATGCCACTGCAGGCCACCATACTTTTTATAAGTATAATACCTTGTTATCAATAATAATAACATGTTGGTCATGACAATATCTTAAGTATGGGTACCATTTAGACCATTTCATGTTAAGACTTGGAATTTGGATTAAAAGATCCATCTTTTGTGACAGAAATTTCTGTACAGTTTAAAAATACAATAAGTCTATATTTAGCATTATTTTTGATAACTAACAAACAATTTCTATACACCAGGTGAAATCTGGCATGAAGATAGTCTATAAACACACCTATAAATTTTACAAGGCATTTTCTTGTACATTAATAATTATAAACATGGCAATATTTTGAAACTTCGGATTAGCTGACATACTGCTAGCAGTGAAAATTTAATCAGCAGAAATTATGCACAGAAATTGATTACTATGATTATTAACTTGCAAGTGCCCTACTATAAACACACATATTTGAAGGAAATGGCCATATACTTATAAAATGTGATTAAACACTGATAAGAAGATTTCTGAGGTAAGTGATATTTACCTGCGTGAATGTTCATGTATAAAAATCAGATTAAACTTTGAGGAGGGCAATGGATTTTCTAAGTCTTCAGTAATACCTCTCAGGTTAGGATACTTTATAGAATTATATTGATTTTATACACCATTTTTTTTTTATATCTTAATTGCGTCATGTTTGTGTTTATTAATACAATAATTTATTTACCGTCTTTACACAAACTTAAAAATGTTGTTAAAATTACTTAAAATTATAACATTTTTTCATTAGATACTAGATCTTGTTACATTTTACATTTGACGACATGTTTCGATGTTATCTCATCATCATCAGGTCTATCAATTAAAATCTGTTGCACTTCTTGCTCTGCGTATATTGATTTGTTTTATTTGTTTGATTTTTTAAGTTCCTTCCATTAAATTTGAAGGCTGTGCCCGGATGCTTTAAATCTGTAAAATTAATTTTAATTTTCAAATCGTGATTTTGGATAATGACATAGGAAATAGAATAATTTACTAATTTAAAGAGTTATTACGTAATATATCGTAATACAAGTAAAAGAATACGATATATTACGTAATAACTCTTTAAATTAGTAAATTATTCTATTTCCTATGTCATTATCCAAAATCACGATTTGAAAATTAAAATTAATTTTACAGATTTAAAGCATCCGGGCACAGCCTTCAAATTTAATGGAAGGAACTTAAAAAATCAAACAAATAAAACAAATCAATATACGCAGAGCAAGAAGTGCAACAGATTTTAATTGATAGACCTGATGATGATGAGATAACATCGAAACATGTCGTCAAATGTAAAATGTAACAAGATCTAGTATCTAATGAAAAAATGTTATAATTTTAAGTAATTTTAACAACATTTTTAAGTTTGTGTAAAGACGGTAAATAAATTATTGTATTTATACACCATATAGTTTCCTACAACCAGTTTTACCATTATGGTACTTGTTCTGAAAATAAGTACATACAGAGTCCACTTCATCGATGACACAAAATGGGACAGGAGAACACTTTTGCAAAGCAAAGATCAGCGTAAGTGCAAGTAAAGATTTTTCTCCTCCAGATGTTTCTTTCATGTCATGTACTTCCAAGCCATTAGCATCAAACGAGACTGAAATTCCAACTCCTTTAATTGTGCTGACATCAGCAACCTATGGACAAAGTGGCTTCTATAATAAATTACAATTAAATTAATCTACTGTATGTAACACATAGTCATAAGTCTTCAGTATAAGATTAAATGGCAATTCATAAAATAAAAACAAAGCTGATTTCTAACAAGAAATTTTTCTAGCACCACCCTATGGTACACAGCCATTTAATCATGAACCAAAAAATAAAATAATTATTTAAAAAATTTGTCAAATCTGAGTACTGGCACCATTCTGTCTACATAGAAACACACACTAGCAGCACATAAAGACGTGTAAAAATATTATATAAATGGAATATACTGTGAACACTTCTCAACCAGCACTTCACTCAATAAATTTCATATATTCTACAAGGCCTAAAACTGGTAATACGAAATTGTGAATGGTGAAAAAAAAGAAAAAAGTTATTTGCGATTTTGTATGTCTCTAAAAACACATTTATAAATCTTTGACATTAGTCTTAATTTCATCGAATATTTAAAAAATGTGTACTTTTGTTGCATATTTTGCTTGGTATCTGATAAGACTTAGTTCTTCCTATATTTTAGTCAAATATAGTTATCCATTCACCAAGGCACCTCATTACAAAGGTAATGGAAGCAAAGTTAAATTCCTGTACATGAGGATTTCAATACAAGATAGAGGTGAGTGATTGGCTTAATGACGTGTTCAAAATACTGTCACATTTAAAGGTTGTCAACTTGGGTGACATTTCACAATTACACACATCCTCAATTCGGACAACATCATTTTCTGAGGTCTTCATAGTCAACTGGGCACGTCCAGTTGGTACTAGCTTCTTGAACATGCTACTGAAGTTCTCAGAAGCCTGACGAAAAGTAAACAGAACTGCATCATTCTTCTGTGTTTCCAAAACATGTAGCAGTTCCAAAATACCGTTGTATCTTTAACAGAAAAACACACACTGATGATTGTACAGCAGGCACATATTGATTCTAAATACTCGTGAATCATTATAATCATTATGCAAATTTTGTTTGAACTGTTAGTGTATGTAATCTCATGGTATTTTTTTGAAGCGATAGATAAAAATAATGAAGAATTTGCTCAATACCTACACGGTCAACACTTGCCAGTGTTTGAATCAGGCACCACTTTTAGTGGCTGTTCATGTGATTTAAAACTACAAAGTTATTATCCACTCTGAAGGAAATGCATACAGGATTTGAAATTAAATTATTCTTTTCAATGGCACAACTCTTTAAGTTGAGCTCCATAAAGTAACATCAAGAAATCACCCAAATATTTATAAATATATCCATCACAAGTAAATGAAAGTCTTGATCATGAAGGCAGCACCTCTGAAACACTTGAAACTTCTACCATACTACATCATGCAACATCCCAAGAGTCAACCACAATAAAATGAAATAAGTACTACAATCAGAAAAGACACAATAAAGGCATGCCCATAAATTGTGCATGTTGGAACATTGTATACACTCCTGCATTCTCCACCAATTACTCTTTAGCTTGTTAAATATCCATAGGAATTTGGTTTGTGATGACATGGAAGTCCACAATGCAGAAACTGAAAGGAATTTAATTTTAACCTTTCACTCATACATAATAATTTGAGGGAACATGCTACAGAGAACCATAATTTCCACAGCAAAATTTTTTAAATAATCTAAAGAAGTCTGTCATACCTTCATAAAAGGACTTGCAGATGAAATAAAGATCTGAGCATTTCTTCCTCTGTTTCACATCTTCTAAATAGAGAGTTACAAAGAAAAACTGTGGAAAACGAAAATATCTATTTTCACCAGCCTGCTGCAGAAAAGGAAGCCAACTCTAATACTTTCAATATGTACATGGAGTTGTTAAAATATGTATAAATGAATTGAATTGAATAAAATAATTCAAAAGTACGATTTTAGGGGTCCCCAACAGGATAACATCCATATCGAATTTCATTCAAATCTGTCCAACAGGTCATGAGTTGAATCATGTAAATAGGCAGACAGATATGTCCAGTCCTATATGCCTTCATTTCACACACATCATCCAAAGAATGCATAATAACTGTCAAAAATGTATGTCAGATAAAATTACTTTGAAACATTTCATGAACACCAATGTGATGTTGTTTTCAATGACAATCCTTAAAGAAACATTTTTAATGAAACAAGAACTTTTTCTTTTTCAAGAAATGCTATGTACTTTGAAGCAAGGAAATCAACATTTCAACATTTATTGAATAAAATTTAAATATCCACTGTTCCCTAGTTGCGCAGATTTAATTCTGGGCATCACATTAAAATACACATCCTTACTAAGAATCACAGATAGTTTTTAAATCACTAACTCTAAAATTATTAAATAATACTTGTACTCATGCCAACAAAACAGAGATTAGCCCAGAAAATTATTTTTTTCCTAAAACCAAAATACATAATACTTTGTTATTGCACATGTGGTGTAAGTTAACCATCCTCCTTTCATGATTTAAATTTCCTGAGCATGATCCTGAGAAATAGAATATACTTTTTTGTATTATCTCACCCTTCTTCCAAGCTTTCCAATTTTAACTTGGCATTTTTATCCTTGTTTAGTAAGTCTGCATACTGACATTCTGCCTGTATGTTCATTTTATGAAATTTTTTCAGCTTCCTGTTTACTCCTGTTAACATCTTCAGTATCTAAAATTGAAAGCAAGGCAAAAGTCATGAAATGCTGAACTCACTCTCCAGTATTATGATATCAAACTGATGTAGGGTGATTTCCCCAACATTTAGAATACATGTAAGATTTGAGGTTATCACAGCCTGATGATGGAGGCAGTATGACCTCTGAAACGTTGGTAAACATCAATCAGACTACACAGCACAACAACCCAGAAGACAGAAATCTTCATTTAGAATACATGTAAATATGCAAATCAGGATAACTAGCCTAAGGCTCTGCCACAGTGAGACTGATAAACTCTTGGTCCCTTGTTTCTATAGCCAAGCAGCACAAATTTTACAATAAAAGCTTGGTGGTAATATGAACTGATGTTACAAAATATGACAGGAAGGTATCTATTAGTACTATTACATTTCTGGACTCTTTAGAACTGAAGATCTATATATTCAATGGAGGTCTATCCTGAAAGCATCTCAATCCACACTGAAAAAAAGAAATGTTGAAAAGTAAGAGAATTATTATTACTTTTACTTCAAGAGTAAAGATACTCACTTGCTTAGTCCCCATATTCTGATATCTGGTTTGTTCTTGTAGGGGTAATGGTCCTAATTTAGCAATGCTTTCATTGCATTCTTCAATCCTTATCATAAGGGTATTTTTCTTGGCAGCAAATAGCTTTATTTCCTTATCATAATCATCTACTTCTTTCTGTATCTTTGTTTCTTCTGCTTTCTGACTTTTCAGTTTGTCTAGAACAGACATTTGCTGCAGAGAATAATAGCAAAATATTATGAATCAGAATAAAGTATACCACATTTAGTTACTTAACTTCTGGATTTGCTTGATTCTCATTCACCTTCTTCACATTAAGTGAATTATTTAAACCTTACAAGAGCCATGGTAGCTCAGTCAGTATACTGATTGGCTATGGACTGGATGACTGCTCGTAAGGTTCTTTTACATGCTGTAAATCTATGATATCAGACCGCCGGCTTTACTTCCCCTCCGAAGGAAGTTGTGTTATGGATTTTTACCGCCCTTAAAAATCCATTAATCTCGGCTGGGATTGAATCTGCAAACCTTGCGGTCCAGTGGTGAGCACGCTAACCACTAGTCCACCGAGGGTGACTGAACGAAGTGGTAGTATGATCAAACATGGTAAACAGATGATGGTTTAGAAGGAAGTCTATGCCATGGTACAACCTACCATCTGCCTGCAGAAATTTGGGGAAATTATGTAAAACCCAGACAAAACAGCCAATGAACTTGCTGAGATTAAAACTGAGTACTTATCAAATACATATCTACACTGTCGGTGCTACATCACTTGTTTGGTAACAATATTATGGATGAGAAAATTACTGCATGTAGCTTAATATTGGTATTCATATACAGAATTACAAGACAAAGATATGATGTAAAGTGGCATGACTAGTGACATTAGAATGCCATAAAATTCAAATTTTCTTGGAACCTACTTAACATTTCACTCAAAACTTATTGTTGCTATAGTGACCTGAACAAACTTTAAACACTTTCACCTTGTAAACGTTGTTATATATTGTGACGTGTTGCCGTGAGAGCAGCATAACAATGTCAATAAACAGTTTAGTTGTCTGTTTATTGACATTGTTGCGTCTGGCATTGTCTGTTTATTAACATTATTGGGTTTGGCATTGTTGTATTCGTTTATAGACATTGTTGTATTTGGAATTGTCGTATTCGGCATTGTTGTGTCTATTTATAGACATTGTTGCTTTTGGAATTGTTGTGTCTGGTCTGTTTAATGACATTGTTGTATTCGTTTATAATTGTTGTGTCTGTTTAATGACATTGTTGCATTTGTATAAACTTGCGTCCAGAAGCTGCAAGTTCTGCAATCCAAGTGTCTTCGAATTGTTACTAACGCGCCCTGGTACGATAGTAACAGGCAAATACATGAGGATCTGGGGGTCCCTTTCTTTGCCGACCACATCAGAGCACTAACTGAGAGGTTTGACTCGAGGTTAGCTGGTGTGGGGAACCCCTTAGTTCGGCAACTCGGAAGACACTCGTGCCGAATGAGGGCTGCCAGAGTTCACCCAAGGGCAACCGAGGGCGACTGATGTTCAGCCGGCCAGCCGAAGCCATCCCCAAAAGACGGCCAAGTCAGCACAACGAGTGGTTAGACTACTCGGCTACCCTGACTGAGGTTTT